GCGAGTCGGTGTAGGTTTACACGCAAAGTGTAAAGTGCCCGATGATAAGTACCGTCGTCCGGCGTGGGGCACGCGAAGAAACCGACTCTCTGCAGGCACTTGAGCAGAAAGGCCGCCATCAGCGATCTCTCCAGGAAGTCTTTGCTCGTCCGTCCGTCCGCGTGCGTTACCAACATGTACGGAGCCATGTCGACGCTCTCCTCGTCGTCGTCGTCGTCGCCCTCGCCAGGCTCCTCTCCCTTTGTGCTCCTCTCCCTCCTCATCCCGATAATTTCCTCGCCTCCTCGCCTAGATTCCTTGAGTTTCCTCCGTCTGATTCTTCTTTTGGCCGACCTGCTGCTGCTCGCCGGCGATTTCGCACCGCGCGTATCCGGCGCCGTCGACGTCGACGTAGCCGCCAAAGGCGCCGCGGCCTTTTCCGCAACGTTCTTCTTTAATTCCTCGTAGATCTTCAAACACTTCCGCGGGCCCTCCTGCGTCACCATCCGAAGAGCGGCCATGCTAAGCACGCTCATGCCGGAACCTAAAGAGAGGAATTTAAGAGCGGCTCGTAATTACCTTGTAAGAGCCTTGGCCCGTAAGGCGCTTGAGATAATGCCAGGTCGCGCGTATGTAAAGTGCAGCTTTTGCTTAGTGAAATTAGAAAAATACCTTGACGAAAAAATACCTACGATGAAGCTCATTATTTCTTATAATTCTATCACTTGCAATACCGAATGCATTTAATTACATATACATGATAGCACCCCATTGTCAAAAAACTTACAAGAAATAGTTACTATAAATTTTCACTATTTGAAACGTTTCATGTTACATTTCTTATTTCGTAATTTTTACGCAAGTTGATACAATAAAAATTGTGACTTGATATTTCAGACACATCTTTTATCATATACTAACATATATTTAAGCCTTTATCAAGAACACATTATATCGTTATAAACATTTTTATATTGTCGAGGAAAAGATATGATTTAATCAATTAGTTTAAATCTTACTTTTTTTAAAGTAATAAATATATTTTTTTAGTTAAAACAATACAAATATGATTAAAAAAGGAATTATTTATAAATACATTTTATCAATAAATAATATAAATATATTTTATCGATAAACAAAGAATTAAATCATTCAATATATAATAATGTTAATTGAATATTATTTATTTTGTTAACAGTAACATTTTTTATCAATAAAAAAATAAAACAGAAATTATAACATATATTAATAATTATTAAATAACATATTTATATTAATTTGTCAAGTTACAATTAGAACGATAATAGGTTTTTAAAATTTTTTTTAATATTCTTTCTTTTTTTTATCGTACTAGTACGATTTAGAAAACATGAAAACTTAAAAAATTTTGATTTAACTCTTATAACAATTGTTCCATGTTTAAGTAAACGTAAAATATTCTACGATAACTTTACTTTTATAAAAAAAGTAGAATAAAATCATATTGTTTAATTATTATCAGATAAATTATTATTAGATAATATTATTAGATATTAGATTATTATTATTAGATATTATTAGATAGAATTATTATTATTAGATAAATTGATCACGAGACACGAGTCTTAAGTCACATAAAACGGCGGCGAGACGCCCATGGCTTTCTTTACGCGAAACTTTGGGATGAAAATCGGTCTACATTTTCATATCTCAGCATTTTATTAGGGAAATTATGATTTTAATAGTAATATTGAATTGAGAAGTTTTATTAATGTTGATTTTGATAGTGATTTGTTTTTATAGTAGGGTTTATTCGTTATATTTATTTTCATTTGTATATTATGGTTTTAGTAACAACGACTACGATCGATTAAGTTCTAATTAGGCTTAATCGATAGCTGAGTATCAAATTCGAACAACTTTTCGAAATTCCAACGAAAAACGATGACTGATATCAGTTCAATGAGCATTTAACGCTG